TCAGTCTTCCCATCTGCGGAAGGGGAAACCAGCAGGAGTTTCTGGCTGTTGAATAACTATCTGTGAGTCACGCTGAAGATACAAGGGGCAAGACAGAAGAGAGGAAGAAAAGGCAAGAAACCAACAGACGACACTCGTGCCAATACAGACATAGGTCACATCAAGCAAGAACAACAGTGCTGTTGCTCTGAGTACCTGTTTCCTATTTCCTTCCTCAAGGAGAATCAGGGTGATGAGAACGATGAGCAGCTGCTGGATGGGAAAGAGACTGTAGCACTAATGTCTGCAAATGGGCAGCTTGGAAGCTGCCGAATTTAGTACTGTTAATGAAGATCCCCCTGAGCAAACTATTCTCCAAATGATGCTGGGGACTGGTGCAGGGAAGGAACAGAGCCAACATCTATTTCTGCCTGGCAAAAGCAAACAAGCAAACACACACACCAAGATCGCTGTGATTCTCAGAGAGTATTAGCAAAGGACAAAACTTGCATAACTGCCATAAATTATAAAAGCCTCCCTCAATCTTGGTTAATTCTCCTGTAAAAAGGGAGGGAAAAATCTGGAGCAGCTCAGCATGAAAACAATTGTGGGAGGGATAATAAAGAGACAGCACCGAGGTATCTAGTTGCTAGCCCTGATATCATTAAGTAAGTGCACTAGAAATGTCGAGGTAAATGCATAGCAGTGAATCAGAGTCAGGCATGATTAACCTTGGGTAGTCTGAACTGGAAATCATTTACAAACACAAAGGTACTGAAGAACATCACAACAGACAGTACATCAAAAGTCATCCCAAGAGCGGGAGTCTTGCCAAGCACTTTGTGTATTTGTGCCATTTCTGAATTATTGTCATATTTTGCACGTGGGAGGATGGAAGATCGCAGACCCCTGGCTTGGGGAGGAGTTTCTATAGCATCGCAAGGTCCTCTGAAACATGTGCACTGGTTGGAATCATTTTTCCTTGCATAGAAGTTTCATAAAATTAAAGGCTTTAATTGCAACGTTCCAAGGTTTACTGAAAGGATTCAGTTTTTGACAAAGAAAGACTAAAATCCTGCATCTGAAAATATTAAAGAACAAAAGAGCACTCTTTCTTCATCCCTCCCCCACTCCTTAACGCAGCCCTTCAGACTATAACTGGTAAAACCAAGGGGAGAAAGGATTTTAATAAAAATTAGGTATTTTTAACAAAATCTGTGAAAGTTTTCTGACCATTGAAAATTGAACCTTTTAGCACAAAACCAAAAGAACAAAACATTGCTGGATATTTCCAAACAGTCCTAAAAGTTTAGAAATGCTCAGCGAAGCTGTAACCAGATGACCCATAGAGAGCTATATATATATATTAAGAGTACAACAACAAAAAACCCCTTCAAATCCAGAATTCTCGTGGCTTTAAAAGCATTCAATTACAAGGAACATGAATCAACTGGGGAAGACTCCAGACAGCTTAACACCTTTGTATTGTTTGCACCTTTTATTGCACTTCTTCAGTGCCAGCTCAGGCAATTATTGTGCATACCGAGGCAGTGAAGGCCATAGGAGTATCGTGCAAAAGGGTACAGCTCTGCTCAGACTTCCTCCCCGCTTTCGCATCATTCTCATTCTCCTACATCCATCTCAGTTATCTCTAGCATTGTAATAACTGCCCTTATTTATCTGCCTCATTAGGATGTTGCATCAATTAATGTGTATCATCTAACGCATACCAGTTTCTTAATGTTTAATATTATTATCAGTGGAGAGCTATGTCATACCGAGTCTATCTAGGGAGTCAATGCATACAGGAAAAAAACCCCATGCATAATGCTATTCAGAATGATGCATTTACAGTACCCAAACCCCCCCAAACAGACCACCACATGTCCTGCACTCTAGGTTTCTATACTCTCGGAGATTACACGTAGCACCTTTGGCCCTGGGGCTCCAGGTCACAGGGTAGTATCTGTTTTTGAGGACCTGGAGCCCAGTGGACAAGGCAGGAGGAATGTCTTAAGGAGAGACTTCATGTAAATGCTCAGTTCACAAGCGCCTCACTGCCTGATTCAGGAGGGTAATCAACCTGTCCTTTGAAGCTGCATAAATAATGTTTGGATGGAGGTAGTAAATCTGCACCAAGGATGAATTAACTGCCACTGAGTCATATAAGCTTGGCTTGAGTGTGTGGCTTGTAACATGCCTGAGGAAAATAAAAAAGACATTTGCAAGAAAGAAACATTAATTTGCTCCTCCCCGTCTTTTCTGTTATTTTTATCTAGGCCAACATGACTTGCTTTGTGGGGTTTTTTGTTGCTATCTAGGCCAACATGACTTGCTTTGTGGGTTTTTTGTTTGTTCCATTTTCACAAGGAAACACTGATTCACAGTGAAACGAATCCACAGTTTCTCCTGGTCAGGCCCAAATGTGCCACCTCTCCTACATCAATGTCGCTCCTTTTTAGCACCCCTGCCGGGAGATGCCAACCAGACTCCTCCGACACTCTCAGAGGAGTGACACCTCGCAAGAGGGTGCAGGTTTTTTTACTCATGGGGACCCCTGGCAGCGTTCGTGCTCCCTCGCACACCTCTCCCCTTGCACACCCCCGCTGGCTCCCAGCTGCAGGTCTGGGCACTGCCGGGCTCTCGGTCAGCTGTGCAATGGCATGGTCTTCTCCACGTACGCAGGGGAAGAGTACGTCCATTACTGTAGACGGACCCAGGCACATGCGCTCACGTATCTGTGTGTACGTGTGCACTGCGGGTCTTTCTGGTTGTGCATCTTGTGCTCAGGTGAGATCTGCTACATCCCAAAAATGAACAGAGGAAGTCTGTATTCATGACTGCCTGAGAACCAGGGACAAAAGTCTGTCCTAGAAGAAGGTAGAAATGAGAAGAAACCCAGGGAAGGCCAGCCGAAGGCAGCAGGAAGAGAACTGGGATGTCAGTGTGCACCTACACATCAACATGAGTTAATTTATGTCACTGTAACACTCAAGTATCCAGCCCCCTTTTCAATAACACATACATTTTAGTTTACTAATAGCTTTTGCTCGTATCGCTCTCCCTTCTTTCTCGTTTCCAGTGTTTGACCTCTGGTTTTCTCTTCCACTGCTCTCAGTTTTGTATGTCCTTCTGAAAATTTGGCATCTGCAGTTTCTTTTCCTCCTTCTTAGCTGTACCCCTCTCATTTTCCTTCTCCCCCTTTGGCACAGCACTTGCTGGTTCCCTTCCTCTCATCCCCTCCTTTCTCTCCTGCCTACTTTTCCACACAAATAATTTCTCTAACTAGAGGGGCCTCTGCTTCTCGAACACAGTAATTTATCAGTGGTAACCACTTGTTTCTACTTCTAAAAATTGCTCTGAGAACCAATATCTGCTGTGGGGTAGCCTTAGCATGTAGTAACAATTTAAAGATAAGCATTATAAATATACTATATGTAGTAGACAGCACAGTTTCAGAAGGTTGTACTAAGATCTCTTATTAGGCAAGGAACTTTTCACACCTAACCAGATTCTGAAGTCTGCTGTATCTAATACAGCACACTATATGACAGTATGTAGTCTCAAACCAAAACCATAAACATGTTGGGGCATATCCCTGAACCCATATTCTGGGTTCAGAGATCTTATGGGATTTTAATCCAATGAAGGAGAAGAAAGGAAAGTAAAGAACATTACTCATGAATAAAATAGCGTCTAACCAGAAAAACCACTTTGGAGGATGGCTTATGTTTTACATATTGCTAAATATCAGCAAAAATAAATGTGTTCATTTCTCCAAAATACCTCCAGATGGCATTAAAACCCTTCTTCTTTCGGTCTTTATTGTGATATTCTTTTTAAAAATGATAATTATTGGAATCATTCTATTAACCATTCCCAGCAATCATACTATCAGAAGGCGTAAGGCTGCTACTGTTTAATTCATTTAATAAGTTTGGCTAAATATGCTCACATACTGTAATTACATTGCACAACACAATCTGCAGGACAAGCTATTTCTTACACCATGTCAAATCTTTTTCTAGATTCATTTCCAGAAGATTTTTAATGTGTATTTGCAGCAGAAATCAAAACATCCCACAATAAATCACCGTTATTGTACCTCCTTCTGTGACTGCTTTTGGCCATGTAACAAATGGTGACATCTTGCGAGATTTACATGATATAATGCTCTGAATTTAAATAACAGGAATCAGAAAACATAAATTATGGGCAAGATGCACTCTAAGATTCACATGACTAACTGTCACAAGAACTTCCCTCCCTCAAATGGGATTAAAAAGGTGAATGGTTTTGCAGACATTCATAATGCTCCTGCCTGGTAGTTATAAAAGGAATTCACTTATTTAGCTCAGTTTGGGAGACTGATGCTATTTATTTATTTTTTTTTTAACTTGCAGCCCATCTGTTTCATAGGCTGGTTTATGTTGGCAAAACAATTCAGTCCTTTGTATACTAGAGTTAAAAATGGTAAAAGCTTCTATTGTTGCACCAGAGTGAAGGTGAACACTGATATATTACAAGTGCCTGTTCCTATCTATTTCTCGACTTCTTTTGTTAATTCAAAAACATCAACAAAATCGTGAGAGACCAGAGATAGCTGTAATTGGATTTCAAGTAATTCAGAGGTGAAGCTGCAGACTGCAGTCTTTTAAAATTACATCAGTACATCAAAGGCATATGTGACATGATGTTTTTTAGCAAGTGTGACAAACTCCAGCAGCATTAAGGTAATGTTGAAGTCAGGTTGTAAAGGCCAGCCTCGCACGCCCACAAAAATCATCTCGTATCTGTTCAGCTTGATGTGGAGCCATTTCACTTGCAAAGATCTCTGACTTATACTAGCATGCAAAAGTTCTAGGAATAATTAATGTTTAGTCATTATCTAAAAAGCCTTTTTAAGAAAAGCATCAGTGAAAGAGCTTTATCTTAATGAAAACAAACAAATTCTATTTTGCCCAGCAAATCTGATAAAAACACAGCTGCCTTCTCCGATCTTAAATGCAAAAATGACTTACGATGTATGGGTTGCGCTTTTCTCTGGACTCTTTGGCTCTACATCACTTTTCCCTTTAAAAGAGAAGAAGAAAATGACATCAGAAATGGGTCATTATGGAAACTGCTCAGATGTGACACGTCAATGCTTTATTCATTGCTAACACTGACCACTCTTGCCACACGTGCAGACAGCCTCCGAGGCGATCACACGGCTGCGGGGGCACTGCTGGAGCGTTTGCAAGCGGGGAGTCAACCCTGACTTGACTTTTCTTGTCACTGGCACATGTACTCTGGAAATGTCAGGCAAGGAAACTCCACAAGAGAGGACACAAGCTTTACCAGGGATAGCAGACCTCGGAGCCATAGAAAAGATTTCTCTAGGCCCCTACAGCTCTGCTATTGAGAGTGCACCCCATCCAACATGCACATGCTCCAAAACCCTGCTCCAGGAACAGTAATTATTTCATACAAAGCAAAACAGCATCAGCAGGAGCTAGTGAGGCAGTGATTAGGACACAATTCTGCCAATGGGTGTTTTGGTTCACATTCATTTTGACAGATTAAGCATCTCATCTTCAGCTCCAGTAAGTGAGGGCTGGGGAAGCCCTCTTTGCTATGTTGTATATTTTGGCTTAGGCACACAACCCCAAGAGAAGTCAGGTACCCAAATGCTTGAGAGGCATCAGAGGCCCAAAGGATGCCTCTTCACTTTTCTGTACGACTCACATGGGTCCTGGCAAAGCATGTTGGCTTGTGATGATTCCCTTCTTGGGTCCAAAATCATATATGTGCCCAACACAACTTAGTTACATAGCACAGACACCAGGGAAGCAGGCTGCTAGCTGATGGGAAGGGTCATACTGCTTCTGCCAAGTCAGGCCAAGTCCTTCTCCCTCCTTTCTCGCCCTGCTCCCCCCACAGTAAGGCTGATGTTTGCTGTAATTATTGCTCTCTGAGTAACCAGAGAGAGTTACACTTCAGCGTAAGATTTTTGTTTAGCTCTACCATGGATGTGCAGGGTATGCCGCTCTACTTGAATCACCTTGAACTTGAATTCTGGACCTCGCGACTGTGCAGCTGCTGCTCCTCTTGTGTGTCGCTGGATGCTAATAGCTGTCTACACATGAGTTTATGTTGCCTAGCAGACAAGGAGGTGCAGAGGTTGAGTGTGACTGGTTTACTGATGGATGTGTTTTTCTCCATTACCTTTTAATGAGCTTTGTTAAACCAAAATCCACCTGTGCCTTCTGAAAAAAATGTGAGAAGTGCTTATTTTGGTCAGGCTGTTTCAGTGTCTGATTTTCTGCTCATTGACTTGAGTTGAGTGGGCTTTGGATCAGTCCCCAAGCTATTCCATGCATATGAGCATTATGTATCATCCACTTGCTGCTGCCAAAGTCCTCACCCTCAGTTTCCATACAGCGTTGGGGTGCTGGCAATGGCTGTAAGGGGCACCTCTGGAAAACTTGCTGTTGCCTTCAGAAGAGGCAGCATTTTGCTACCAATGTCCTTCCACTGCTGTACAGAAGCAAGCTGAAGGACTTACTCTAATCAGCAACCTTCTGGAAGTGGATGTCTTGCAGAAGAGGTTCTAGGTATTGCAAACACCTTGCCGTGGTGCATTTAGATCTTGTCCTCCCCTGTGGAAGAGTTTGTGTCTACCCAACTTAGGTGCCTAAACTTTAGTGAACAGGATGGGGGAAGCTCTGGATGACTTAAAAAATACCGATGCCTCCCTGTGGTCCTCTAGGGAAGCTAAGCACCTAGTGTAGGAGGACAGCTAAAGGCACCTAAAATTTAGGCACAAGCTGGGCATCCACACAGGATGGAATACATCCACTCCACAGTCTCTAGGGCACTTTTCACTTTTAGCAGAGACCTCAGAAAGTATATCCAGATGATGAACTTGCTGGCTAGAAAGCTGTTGCTACAGTATATGTCTGTCAGCCTTAGGGTTCCTGGAGCCCTGGAGCTCATCTGCATTATGGTAATTTGGAACAAGAAACCAACAGTAACAGTTGGCATATATTCAAAGATTTTCTATTCGTAACTTAGGCTTTTTATAAGTAAGTGATGAATTATTACCATGAACACTGGTTTGTTTGAGTGTGAGGGGGAATATGGATTCCTGAGTGCTTTGCCAGCAGAGTTCACATCAGTTCTACTTTCAGCAATGTATGTTAATGCAGCAACAAGGGAAACAGCATAAGTACTGTGAGGAGGGAGAAAAGGGTATCTCTGTGATTTAGCCAAACTGGATACTAATGAATTACCCTACAGTAAGCATTTGCAGCTGCTTTTATGCTAATCGTTACTTAACGTACTTCTGTGAGGCAGGGGAGGACGAAGCTTGTACAGATGGTAGAAACGCATCAGTCCGGCCTATCAGAGTAGAAAATCTGGCCATTAATGCTTTATCAGTTCTTACCAAGTTTGTTCTCACTTGACTGAATCATAGAAATTTTAAAAATGTGTATAGGCTAAGCATAGTTGAACGTCACAGATACGGTACAGATAAGATTTTTGGATAAGCATATGTAAAAGGGAATCATCTGTCAGAACAACTTGGTTTTTTCTCACTCTTGGCCAGACTAATATTTGTTTTCCGTTTTCCATGTAACCTGCCAAATGCATGCAGGTACCATTGTGGGAGGCTGGCATTTGCTGAACTGCTAAATCCTCTCTAGCTCTGGCTTCTTCTTATGGCCAAATTTGTGTCATCCTTTGTTTTTCTTAGTCTTTTAGGAATTGACAAAGAATACGCTACCCACCTTGCCTCTTTTACAGGACTGCTGTTAGTACACTTTATTTCAGGTGCTAAGCACTGTGTACATCTTCTGAAACGGGTGTGGATGTGTGTGTGTGTGTGTCTGTGTCTGTGTGTTGGTGTGTGTATTCATACACATGCCTCCAGAAACACACAGTGGAAACCATCAGTCCTCAGATCCTTAGCCACAGAGCTGGGCGTTCTTTGCTAGTTTCTACCTCATCTCATACAATTCCCTTCCTAATCTTTTTAGGTACAACCAGATGAGACACGTCCAGATTTCTCCCATTTCAAAATAAATTTCAAATGAACGTTTGTAGGATTTCCCCGTTGAATAGTAGGCAGCCAGAGAAGGAGTTCTCTCCTCCGAGTTAGAATTTGGGTGAATCACTCAACCTAACCAGGCCAAGTTTCCCTTTCCGGGTAACAGGGATAAATAATACTTATTGTGACACGGCAGTATAATTTCAGCCATTATTATGCTTTAATTATTATTAAATATTATTATATTATTATATATCAGCCATTATTATGCTTTAATTTCCTTGTGGGGTATCCTGGTTTCGGTAGGGATAGAGTTAATTTCCTTCCTAGTAGCTGGTACAGCGCTG